TCCTGTCAGACCCAGATCATGCATGTTTTACACCTGTCAGTCCCAGATCACACTTGTTTTACACCTGTCGGTCCCAGATCACACTTGTTTTACACCTGTCAGTCCCAGGAAGCAAGTTTCACACCCATAGATCCCAGTAGGAAAAGAGAAGAAGGACCATGAAGGACCTGGCTTACAGGTCTATTCTGGAGATTCTGGGGATGGTAAACAGGAAATATGCTTCCAGTACTCAGAAGCTGGGAAAAACAGTAAGACGGCATAGTTACTCAACCTCTTGTGACTCTTAATTTAGGGTCCTGGCAGAAGGCTGTGATGCCTTTGAAAGTGAAAGTGTGTTGTTTTCATGAATAACACTGTCTCTCAGGTTCACAGCCCAGACCAGAGCCACAGCGCCTCCTGGTGTCTGTAGTGTTAAACAGACTGGAGAGCATGAGCCCTCCACACAGGTCCATCGCAGGGACCCACCCGGCCACATTGATCCCCACTTAGACAGCTGGGAGGACTGGACCCACTGGGGTAAACAACTCACTCTAGGGTTACAGCAGCAGTGTCTGCAGCAGGGACTCGAACCCACAGCCTGTTAGTCAAGAGTGCAATGGCTCCCCCGCTAGGCTCCGTGTGCCAAATAAAAAGTGGTTTGACATCATTTATGAGCAGTGGCCTTGGAGTTAATTATTTTATTGATTTAAGCTTGGATAAGAGAGCAGGAAATCCCTTTAAGCACGCTTCTGCTTTTTTTCTTTTTTTTCCAGGGTAAAAATCACAACAAAAAGCTGAGGAATTTCTACGCGGGGAGTCAGCAGCCTCCCCCTGTGCGGATACCAGCAGAGGTGGTGGAGCCCGTCAGCCAGCAGACACCTGCCCCTCCTGCGGACGCAGCAGCCTCGTGCAAGCAGGTAAATTCATCACTGAGACCTGGCTCTGGGGCCTCTCTGTGGGGCAGTGAGACTGGGCTCCGGGGCCTCTCCGCAGGGCAGTGAGACGTGGCTCCGGGGCCTCTCCGCGGGGCAGTGAGACTGGGCTCTGGGGCCTCTCCATGGGGCAGTGAGACTGGGCTCTGGGGCCTCTCCGTGGGGCAGTGAGACTGGGCTCTGGGGCCTCTCTGTGGGGCAGATACGAGCCAGGGTCCAGAGAGTCCAGTCATCAAGAGCAGCAGTGCCGTTATGTCACAGTTTGAGGCCTGAGGAAGAGCGTTAAACTGACCTTACCTGACCAGCCTGATTCATTTCTTGGCAGAGACCAAGAAACTCTCAT